GTAGGAAGCAAGAGTCTTAAGTGGAGGTTGCACCCACAGCCCACAATCTACCAGGGGGTAGATTTTGACAGCAACAAGGCTGATCTCCATTGGAATATGAGCAGAATGTGATACCCCCTCTGCCACCTGGTAATTGTTGGTTGTCAGGCTGTTGCAAAATGCTACAGAAAGCCCCTGTAGTAGAATCTGTTACCATAGCGCTCTTTCTGCTTCTCTATGCACCCCATAGATCTGGCATAGGAAACCAACAGGATGGACCTCCTTGGGGATCATTTTGGGTCTGTCTGACCCTCCTCACACTTGGCACTGAGGACTGCTGACTGAAGCTACTATGTGCTAGGAAGCAGGTATCTTAAATGGAGGCTACACCCGTAGCAAACGTACCATGGTTGGGCTCTGAGAGCAACAAGGCAGGCCTCCCTAGGAGTCTGTTTGGAATGTGACTACTCCTCGGCCAACCAGTAACTGTTGGCTGCCAGACTGATATGAGCTCCTATAGTAGTTTCCCTATGCTAGTTAAAAGATAAGTCTCCTAAATGGAGGCAGCTCCTCTAACCACCAATGTGTGACCCTACCACAGGGCCACTGGGGCTCTGGTAGTCTTTCTGGAGAGTGCCAGCCCCTTCTTCTCCTAGAACAGAAGAAAGTTGGCCTGTGTTTTCCCTGAATGCCAACTCAGATATAATCAGCCCCCATAAGCAGGGAAGGAAACATCAGGCTAACACCTGAGGGCAAAATCCACTCCCAAAGAGGGCTCACTAGGTGTGGGTTTTCTGACTGAAAATGTGATTGCAGAAATAGAGAAAGGAAGGAAGTAAAAATCAGACAGAGGAGACAGATTTATTAGGACACAGTATCTCGCCTGAGTTGGTGGTGACTACTTGTGGTCATACTGACACATCATGTTCTCTGGTGCATGTGGGAGAGATTCAAAGTTGACAAACAAGATCTGGAACTCTTGAATCCCAACTAAACCAGAGAGGGAGAAGGAACTATCACAGAGAGAAAGAGAAAGAGGAAATGGTAAGCAAAGGTGGAAGGCTCTGCTCATCTACTTCTTTGTGGAAAATAGTATGGATAAAAACACTAAATACTGGAGAAGGTGAGAAAGTTAACACCCTCAAAAATTCCAATGTCCCCCCAAAAAATCACACGACACACAAAGAACAGAGAAACAATGCCCCATCCAAATGAACATGACAATGAGTATCAAAGTGTATTTAGGGATCACCAAATAATAATAATAAAAAGAAGAAGAATATAATACAACAACATTAAACATGATTGAATAACTAAAGGAAAACACAGACAAAGAGCTTAAGAAAAACAATGTAAGGACAAAATAAGGATCAAAAAAAGATATTGCAACTGAACAGGACAGTAACTTAAATGAGAAACATGATAGGAGGTTATACCAATATATTTAATCCAGCGGAAGAGAGAATCAGCAAATTAGAGAATAAGATAGTTAAAATTAAAGATGGTGAAGAGCAACCAGAATGAAGGCTGAAAAAGGATGAGCACAGTTTAAAAAAAGTATAAGACAAAAATAAGAGAACTAATAAATGCAGAATGGGAATTCTGGAAGGAGATAAGAGAGAGAAAGAGACAGAAAAGCTATTAGAAGAAATAATGAGAGAAAATTTCCCCAACCTAATGAAGGACATGAATCTACAAATCCAAGAATCTCAAAGAACCCCAAGCAGTATAAACCCAAAGAGAATTACACTAATACTCATGTTGTTGTTGTTGTTATGTGCTGTCGAGTCAGCCCTGACTCATAGCGACCCCTCCTTGGGTTGCCAAGGCAGTATCACTACGGAAGTAGATTGCCCAAGCTTCTTTCAGAAGAGTGGTTGGTAGGTTTGAACCGCCAGCCTCCTGGTTAGCAGTCAAGTGCCTTAGGCACTATGCTACAAGAGCTCCTAAGACTCATCATAGTTAAACTCAACTCACTGCCGTCGAGTCAGATCCAACTCATAGCAATCCCTCCTTGGGTTTCTGAGGCAGTATCACTATAGAAGTAGATTGCCCAACTTTCCTTCTGCGGACTGGCTCATGGGTTTGAACCACCAGCCTCTGGTTAGCAGTCCAATGCCTTAGGCATTACGTCACCAGAAGGTTCTCAAAAATTGAAGACAGAGAATCTTAAAAGTAGTGAGAGAGAAGGAAGCAGTCACTACAAAGGACCCTGAAAAAGATAAGATGCTGATTTGTTCACAGAAACACTGGAGACCAGAAGGCAATGGAATGATGTATTTTAGGGTGCCAAAAGAACAAAACAATCAACCAAGAATATCATATCCAGTGAAACTATCCTTCAACAATGAGACTGAAATTAAAACACTCCCAGACAAACAGAAGCTGAGATAGTTCATATTCCATTCACCAGACTGGTCCTACAAAAAAACACTAATGAGAGTTCTGAAGATGTAAAGGAAAAGAAAGACATTAGAAATAAAGTCAAAGCTACACATAAAAAGAAAGATCCCTAGTAAAGGGAAATGCATGGACATGTATAAGAACTAGTAATAAAGTATTAATGGCTGACAACTATAAATGTTTTGTCTTTCATATCTTTAGTAACAAATATTTAAAAGACAAGTATAAAATTATGTTACAAGTCACCTGAAATATAAAAATGTAATTAGTGAGGACTTCTGGCAAGATGATGGAATAAGCAGATAAGCTACACAGACCCTCTACAACAAAGAAATGAGAACCCAATTGAAACAGATACAGAAGATGATCCTAGAATCCTGAGCTTCAACGGGAAAGATTAAGAGGTGGATTGAATACTGACTAGTAGAAGAAACTGAATGAAAACAGTAAATAAGGAGATAAAGAGAGCTGTGGACTGTCAACTGGCCTGACAGCACAGCCATTTTGAGTATTTGCAATCAACATTCTGATCAAGACAACAACCTTATAATCAGCTCCACTTGCCGAGGACAGCATGGAAAACACACTGGTGGTGGATGACCAGAAAGGTGTGATATTTTCCTTGTTCCCCTTGTACGCCGTATCCTTCTGGTGAAAGGAGGTTTGGCTATCCCCCTCCCCAGCAAGACTTTCATCTCAGACCACATGCTGTCTTCTGGATGGGTAGGAGCTGGTTCTGGGACTGGACACCCTGTGCCCAGCCACCTGCTGCTTCAGTGAGAGCTTTTCTTGGGACAAGAACCCTGCACACAGCCACCTTTTGGGACAGCAGAACTTTTTCTGAGAGAAGGGGCACTGCACTCAGCTGATTTTGGGGATGGTGGGAGCCTTTTCTGGGACCGTACACTATGCCCACAAGTGCTTCTGGGGCCAGCAGGGGCTCCCACAGGAACCAATTGCCTTGCTCCTGGTCACTTTTTGGACTAGCAGCAACATTTCCTGGGACCACGCACCCTGCCCCTGGATGTCTTCTGGGCCAGCAGGGGCTACATCAGAGACTGGTGACTTTGACGACTGTTGCCTTGTTGGCGGACAGGGATTAGTTCCGAGAGCAGCCACCCTGCTCCCCACCACCTTTTGTGCTACCAGGAACTTCTTGTTGTACCAGGTGCCATACACCAAGCCACCTTTTGGGATGGCAGGAACTTTTTCTGTGAGCCTGGGACCTGTGCCCAGCTGCCTTTTGGCCCAGCAATAACTTTTTCTGTCATTAGATGCCCTGTCCCCAAATCATTTTTGGGGCATTAGGAACACCTTCTAAAATCAGGCACATTACTCTCATCTGCCGTCTGGAGCAGCAGGAACATTCTTGGGTCCAGCTGCCCTGCCCCCACTCGCCTTGTAGGTAGGCAGGAATTAGATCCAGACCAGGCACCTGTGCCCAACCATGCCTTCTGGACCAGATGCCCTGCTACCCACTGCATGAGTGGCAGGAGACCACCACCTGGTTACCCTGCCCCTGACACTTTTCTTTTTGATTATTCTTCCCCCCCCCCCATTCCTTCTTTT